GAATCAAGGTGGTGAAAGGGGTAGCGGAGGTCATTATGGAGGAGATTCCAATGGGTACGATAATAACATTCCTTATGAACGGAATCAAGGTGGTGAAAGGGGTAGCGGAGGTCATTATGGAGGAGATTCCAATGGGTACGATAATAACATTCCTTATGGACGGAATCAAGGTGGTGAAAGAGGCAGTGGAGGTAATTTTGGAGGAGATTCCAATGGGTACGATAATAACATTCCTTATGGACGGAATCAAGGTGGTGAAAGAGGTAGCGGAGGTTATTTTAGAGGAGATTCCAATGGATACGAAAATAACAGCCTTTATGAACGAAACCAAGGTGGCAGTGGAAGTCGTTTTTATAATGAATACGATAATAATAGTCTTTATGAACGAAATAGAGGCGGTTTCATTGACAAAGAAAATCATGATGCACGAAATGAAAACGGATTTAATGCACAAAATGAAGGTACTTTAGGAGATGATTATGGTCACTATTTAAATGATGCTAATGGAAGTGGTTCGAATAATAGCAGCGGAGGAAATACTGGAAATCAAGGCGTTGAGAGCAATAATGCTGGCAATGTGCAAAGCAATATACATTCTTTTTCCAATATTCCTCCATACTCATATGGCATCAATCAAAGTCCTACACAAAAGATACAAGTGAGTCAAAATTTTACCGAGAGTGCTGGGCCGCAAAATCATACCGGATCGCATGCAAATAGCGCCACAAAGAGAGATAACAAAACCAGCACAAACAAAGCAAGCATTGGCGTCACGAAGAGGGCGAATAACAAGTTCAGCACAAAGCAAGCAAGCAGTGGCGTCACGAAGAGAGGGAATATCGCAATCAGCACAAACAAAGCAGGCAGTGGCGTCACGAAGAGAGGGAATAACACAATCAGCACAAACAAAGCAAGCAGCGTTGACAATATTAGTAACGAAAATACTGAATCCTCCTTACCTTCTATTTTTGGCAATGAAAATGGAGTTAAAAACTCACAACAAAAGCAAACACCATTTGAGCGAGAATTAGAAAATACTATTCGCCAGAGTCCACATTTACTCACTGCACTCCGTACCTCATTATCTTCTGATTCTAATCCTGATAGCTCCAACTCAACTTCTAATCAAACCAATAAAACATCAGATTCCAACTCTAAACTTTCCACTAAAGATATCGATATTCACGAACGCATTAAAATGCGCGTTCGTCAAGCTGAAGAAGCTGCCAAACGAAAAAAGCAATCCCAAGAAGAGGGTGGGAACTCCACCACCAATTCTACTTCTGGTGACTCTAAAAGTTCCACTGCAGATAATCCAACGTCACAAAAAAAACAAGATGATGAGGATGAGGATGATTCGGAAGCCCCCAAACCATGCAAAAATCACTCCCCCAGCGTTCGTTGCTTTCGTTGTTTGGTGGGTTCTAAAGGAAAGAAAGTAAAACGAGTCGGTGGAAACGTATTTGGATTTGCTTGTTAAAAAAAAATTCAAATTATTATACCTCTTACAAAATAGTATTTATTATTCTTTCTCGACTTCATCCTTTCTTTTTTTCCTCTTGAAACCAACTGATTAGCCCAAACCTTTGCTACCTGACCCTCTATTTAATTCTATTTTTTAGGTACCCGCGTTCCAAGTTAAGGATATAATTTCAATTTCGGGCAATTCGATTTGAAATTTCAAATTTGGGCAATGCCTCAATTTAAAATTGGAAATTGGAAACGCCCAATTTAATTGTTGTTGTGAATTTAACAAAAAATATTTCAAGTTATACTTGTTAAATAATTAAATAAAAGCTATTTTATAAAATTTTAATTATTATTCAAAATAATTATCTTCTTTACTATTTCAAAGAATTAATTATAAGGTTTTGCCATTTTACTAGAATCATTATAATTAAAAGTGATAATTAATATTTAGAGATTATTAATTAGCTAAAACATTAAATTATAATAAAAATAAACTATATTTATATTGTAATACAAATTATGGACTATTATTTTAAATTGATTTAACTAATTTAAGATTTTAAATTTTTACCAATTTGTAATAAGTTTATTATAACTTGATTTTTCAAAAATTAATTTAATTAAATTTTAGCATTTTATACTATATCATTAATAATATTATTATTTATAAATATTAAATAACTATTTTTTTATTATAATAGTTTTAATAAAATGAAATTAATTATAATTTTATTATTTTTTTTATAATATGTTTTTGTTTAATTTATTTTAGTAATAATATTAAATAAAAAAAAATTAATACAATTAACTTTTAATACAATAAATTTAATATAATGAATTTTATAATACAATAAAATTTTAATATAATACAGAATTTTTTATATAAAAAACATTATTATATTGAATTTTACTAGTTAAAATCTATATAATAATATACAAAAAAATTTTATAACATTAAATAATCCTTTTTTAACAAATTTATTTATAACAAATTTTTTTAATACAATAAAGATTTTAAAGACTTTAAAGAGAACTAATCTTATAAAAAGAATGTTAGTAAATGTTCTCAAAGAAGCTTATCCATTTCAAGAAGAAAATCAATTTATCAATTGATTTTTAAGATCCAAAGAAGGTTAATTTTAAAAAAGAAAGAAAAAAATATTAGTAAAATATTCTTAAAAAAATTCATCTATTTAAAGAAGAAAAGAATAAACTTATAAGTTAATTCTCAAGATTTAAAGAAAGTCAGTTTTAAAAGAAAAAAAGAACGTTAGTAAAACATTTTCAGAGAAACTTATTAATTTCAAAAAAAGAAAATTAACTTACCAATTAGTTCTCAAAATCCACAAAAAAAAATGATTTTAAAAAAATAAAAAAAATAAAAAATAACTTTCTTTTTGGTCAAATAAAAAAAAAATTTAATTAATAAAAAGGATTAAAAAAAACTTCCTACCTAAAATTAAAATAAAGTAATATATTAAAAAAAAACAAATTTTAAAAAATTAATTATTAAAAATAAAAATAAAATAAAAATGGTTATTTAAAAAAATATTGGAATAATTGGAGTACAAGTAGCTGGGAATATATTGCAACTGATTGTACTTATTAGAGATAAAGCAAATGTTCATAAATATTTTTATTTACAATCGACTGAAATTCTTGTGCAATTGTCAGATATAGACATTGTAACTAAATTTGTGAAAACCCTTTTACTTTTACAAAACATATTAATTACAAATTTGTTCCTATTATATCACACATCTATTTTCATATCAGAAAGACAAAAAAAAGATAGTACTACAGTTTCTACTCCAATGCGAGATAACTAGATTTTTTTTATATTTTACGAACTATTTTAATAAAATTTTCTTAACAAATTTAAAATTTCTTAGCAAAACTTTGTAAACTAAGTTCACAAAGTGAAATCACATAAATTTTTTTATTTTGAATGTAAATATACAGTGTATAAAATTATTTTCAAAAATGACATCTGAGATTAATTTACTTAGGTAAGAAAACATTAGACTTATAGCTGAGAATGCTGAGTTTAAGGCCAAGTATGACGAGACCAAAAATGAGATTACAAAACTAAGGGCTGAGCTTAGGAATAGAATTGAGAAATTGGAAAAAGCTAGAATAGATACTGCTATTGAGAATACTAAATATAGTGCTAAAAATATCAGACGTGATGCTGAGAATGCTGAGCTTAAGATTAGGGTTGCAAAGTTAGAAGAAGATTTTAGGTATTCGCGAAAGAATTCCTCTTTTAAAAAACCTGCTGATATATCTAACTCCATAGTAGTAAATGAAATAGTACCTGCCAATTCGAAGTCATTAGAGGAAAAAGTCATGAACTCTTTCTTGAGTGAGGTAAATAAGAAAATAGTTAATGATGAAATTAGGTGGGAGAAGCTTATGAAAGTGAAAACCATTTTCTCTGAAAAGGATAAGCAGAGTTCAGTTAACAAAAGGATGCTTTATAAGAAAAATCAGAAAAAATAAAGGAAAAATTCATTTAGGAAGTGACAAGGAAGGTAAACACTAAAATAACCCTAGATGATTTGATATCTTCAGTATCTTCCTAAAGAGAATCAGATTCAAACGCTAATATTATAAAAATAAGAATGCTAACTCTTTCTTTTTTGTATGAAAAACTTTGTGATGCTGTAACCCTTGCTGATCATGCGATCCAAGAAGCTATCTTTTATTACTGCCAATTTGAAGAAACTCTTATCCAGAAGCGAGGTGAGATCGCATCTGAAAAACATGTTGATCCAGAGTCTAATATAGTCAGTAAAATTCTAAATATAAAAGTTAAAGCTTAGCTTCCTGCAGGTACTTCTGATACACTTTTACGGAAAAGAATTGAGCAGGCTAAAAAGCTCTATACACTTTTTAATGTAATAGGTATAGATAAAATAAATCGAATTCATTCCTTCTCCACTGATTCTATCTCAAAAATGACGTATGAAGACATTTAGTATATTATAGACAATATGTTCTTTGATTATAGTATTCATATAGAGCTACAACTTCGTGAACTGAGTTCACAAAGTGATAAGAAAAATTCTGACTTATCACATATCACTAGTTTAGTTGCGCCTACTGAATTTTAAGTTTCCAATGAATCTGTCTTGAAAAAAATTGATACTAAAGTGGTACCACCTATTTCTCAACCTGAAAGTTAAGTTTATGACTGCACCTATTTCCGCAAAAAGATATTGGATCAATATCCTAATTTAAATATAAAATGCAGTAGTGAAAATTTTGATTATTATGAGATTACTGATGAGACATTATGCGGGGACTACATCTGTCCATTATGCGAATTAAGTCATGATGAAGAAGAAATAGAAGATAAGTATAAAGCTGGATCTTACCTTATTAAATGTGAACAGTATAAAATTGAGATAACTGCATAGTCACATTATTTACAATACTATATTTGCGTTTCTCTTGAAAAACTATTTTTTTACAGGGCTAATTCATGTTAACTATTACCAAATTAAATTAACTTATATTCATATAAAAAGGAAAATGACTGTGTCTGATAAAATACTAACTGCCAAATATCTGGATTAGCACGCCAAATTAAGTGGATTACCAAGTATTTTGTCAGATAAGATTCGTTTCAAATTATACAAAAGATATAAAAAAGAAACTGGAAATGAGCCATGGCAATTATCAGAAGCCGTGATAAGTATATCAGAAAAACCTCAAGCTTCTGATTTCAAGCCCATCACTTTCAAAGCCAGACCTGATCCAGAATTAATTATCAAATCCATCTTAGAACACTTACCATACTTGAAATTCTGAAATAGTTTTAGAGGGATTGATAATTATAATTTTGCATCACCTCAGCCGTGAAGCTCACCATGCCCTATTTGCAATGGAAAACATGGAAATTATGGATTACATGGCTCACAGTACCACGAAAATAGGAATCAGCTCCCTTATGATCCTGAATTAGCGAAGTTGTATTCCCAAGATAAGCTGGAATATTGTCTTACCTGCAACACTTCAAGCAATAAACTCAAGTTCGCATAGACCGGTTATGTGAGACTGATCATCTGAATGCGCAGTGCGATATCGGGCTGTGCAATATAAAATTTGCATAAATGATAAATTAACTGATTAACTCGCGTTCTCATTCTTACCCATAAGTTCGTAAAAAAAAATGAATATCATTTGTTTTTGCTGTATTATCACGGTTCTTCCTTTTACCGTTCCTTTTATCATTTTTACATCCTGGCTGCGGCTTCCTATCGTTTTTTTAGTTATACTATACGATCTGATATATCATTACTTTAGTAATAATACCTCGGCCTCGAACAGTAATACTTCAGAAGACATTCTCTTGAATAATACTTTGGAAGAATCACCTTTAACATCTGAAATTCCTCCAATTCCTCCTTGTTTTGAAGGTTTAGAAGAACAGTGGGCTGATCTCAATAAAAACGGAAGAGGTTTGTTTATTGTTACTCTTCAATATAGTTAGTTCTGTATTAAAGGTGACTGCTATATACTACATGATAGACTTTCGAAAAGAAATCTGGTTCAGGACACATATTGATTTATCAAGAAGTAAGTATTTAATTTATTATTGTTTACCACGATAATACTACTAAACAATTTATTTTTTGCAGAGGAAAAGATCATTCCCTTGGAACATCTTGCCAACTTTTTTAGAAGAGCCTTACAAGAGGAAAGTTTGGATGATTCACACGAAAATCTACAAGAAGAGGATCTGGACAACGGAGATTTTAACTACCAAGAGTCTGAATTATGTACTCTCACCGACGAAACATCATCTGACGAGGACCTCGTCGACGATTAATTTTAAGCCAAACCGCTCTTAGAGCTATGAATAATTTGAGCAAAAGGCGAAAAGCTCTTGTAATCCGTGCTTTAATTGATATTTCTTGCGCAACAACAACTCAGTTAACTTCAAATATGTTTCCCAAGTTCAAGGTCAGTTTAGGTCTAAGGTCATTTATTTGAATGCAAATCAGACACGATGTAGATGTTAGATTTACATTTAGACGCGTAGTCCGAATTACAGATGTATTTTCTAATTGATTGCTACTAATAATAAGTGTATCAAACCTATAGTTATTGTAAATTATGTATAAAGATTAAATAAAATTCATGTATTATTTTTCTATAAAAGTTTCTATTATAAGCAAACAGCATTAGATGGGGTTTTTGCTTAAGCGAGCTGGTCGAGCATAAAACCAAGGTGTTTGTAACTATTGTCAAAATAAATCATGTGAGATTAATCACCTGAAATGCGCAGTACGATATTGTGCTGAGGCTGTGCGACGAGTCGCAATGAAAAAATTTTTGAGGTAAACGAAATTTCGCAACCGCAAAAACAATGAATATAGGGTGATGGATAGAATAGACGCAATGAATAAGATGGACTATGATGTATGAAGCGGGTCCCTTTAGGACCAGCGCCTTTCAACTTTATCATAAGCAAAGTCGCTAACTTGTAATTTATCCAATGTATTGCAAATAAAAAGCTTGCTTTGATTAACTCTGCGCATATGAATAGAGTAGTAATGGACAAATTGATAAGGATTATTTATGATCATACACACACTAATGCAGAGCATTTAGGAACGAAATCTTAATTCGTGATCGATAAGTTGGATTGCAACGAAGATCCAGGGACAATCATGTTTTGCAACGATCACGGCGGATCCTTAGTGTATGGAAAACAAGATAGGTGCGTTGCTTTGCAAGATTGATATTTCAGTAATTTCGAACTTAATATTACCTCTTACTTTAGCCCTTTTTTTCATAATTATTCGAAAAAAAAGACAATATACTTACTATATTTGCGGATCAAGATAGAGGATGTGAAACAAATAAAATGTTATCTTATCGCCCTGAAGATCTTTGATCATGGAGTGAAAGTAATATAAGTAGGAGTGAACATGGGGAAATTACTTCACACTTCGCACTTCACTCTTTACAATTCATCACTATGGCTAGTGAACCTTCGAGCGCCACTATAGCCAATGAACCTTCGACCAGCACTTCTGAAATTCAAACAGATACTTCTGAGCCTTCCCAACTCGAAGTACTTGCATTAAATTATCTTCGAAATCAAGAGATTTCAACTATTCCCACCAGTATTCCGAAACTCAATCCTTGCAGTATTTGCCAAAGAGTAATCCTAAAATTCCGATTTCAATCGTTCGTGTGTTGGGTTGCGAACACCTTTTCCACCGCCAATGTCTTGAGAATTATATCATGCGAGCAGAAACAGATCCTTTTACTCTTACATGCCCTTCGTGTAATCTAACCATTGAGCTGACTAGAGAAGAAGCAGTACTCGCCTCTGGAAAATATCATCTTCAGAAAAAACAAACTGACACTGGACAGGATGATGAGGAGCTCATGGCTTCACTAGGATTGGTAGAAGGTGACTCTCGTGCTGGTCAGGGGAGTCAGTCGAAGCATGTCACTATGCAGGATCAGGCGACAAGCCCAATCGTGATTGAGGATGATGCTTCCGAAAATAATGATGATGAAAGGACGCCAGATGCATCAAACCGCTCCGCCAATGTACAAGATAATCTGGAGAATACACCTAATGAAAATAGCGGAAATGATTCCCAGGATTCAGCTACAAATGATGGGAATAATAATACTGCTCAAAATCGGCCATTGGGACGTTCGCCAAGGCATTCATCAAGACAATCAGTTACCTCTGGAAATAATAACCGTGAGCACAATATCTTGCAGGGCTTATTGCAAGAATTATCTACACCCGTTAGGGGGGAATCTATTGAGAATAATGAAGTGGATGAGGATGATTCGGAAGCTTCAATGCCAAAGACTTTAGCCCGCCTCTTCCAGAAAGCTTGTAGAGCAGAGACGCGTGCTACGAAAGCAATCCAAGAAGAAATTTCGTGTTGGTATTACTATGGGAAGGCGTATGAAGAGAAGGTTGAGGAGATTAAGAATGCTCGGAGAGGAATTAGTGATCAATCAGCAAGAAATCAAGTGTATAATGATACAATGGAGCACCTTCCTGGCGGATTTACTAAGGATACTTTACGTAAAAAAACTCAAAGGGCTGTGAAGATTTTTAAGCTGTTCCGAAAAATCGGAGTGGATAATATTAAGCGGGTTATATCATATAGTGCAAATGCTATTTCGAAGCTCACTTCCACACAAATTAGGGCGATTGAACAGCATTTTGGTCACGTGACTACTGTGCCACTCGAACCTCATGTAATTAATAAAGTATATTTTGGTGTGTAACTGTGCATCGAAAAAATATCATTAATAAAGTTGTGATTAACCTTGATGTATTCGTGAAAAATTGAAAAATCAATTGCGGTTGCACAAAGGGAATTCGATAGAAGAATTATGCATACGCCATTATACACTCCCACATAATGTTTGTAGAATATTGTTTTTATCCCTCTTTGTTTACTCTTTAATCCAATATGACAGAACAAACAGGACCATCTAGGCACAGAAAGTTATCAGTTACATTGGCCGGTGCTGGTGTTGGTGGATTAATAGGTGGGGCTTTGGGTCAAGTTACAGACAAATATACAGGAAATACAGGTATTGCGACTGCAATTACAGTTCCTGTCCAGAAGGGACCGTCTCCGATTACACAAAATTCCAAATTTAATAATGAGACGATACAATTGATCGACCAATCAAAATCATAGATTTTAATAACAAAATCACGTGATCTAAAGCCAAAAATTGCGAGTTAGATATATTTAATCAAGAAATGTGGTCATCATAATGTATTTATTATATAAAATAACTAAATAGTTAAAAGATAAAAAAGTAAAATACTAAATGGAATACTATGTTTAATAAAAAAAAAAATTGAAAAAAAGTTTTACAAATTTAAATATAATTCTTTCGCAAGTTCTAATAAATTATCCGCTATTATAATATCATCTATCATCTCAATTTCATCATTCATATTGTCTTTGGCTGCATCTTTAATATCCTCTTCAATGAGTTTTTGTTCACTTGATATTTTTGTTAAACTTGTCATAAGAGCATCGATGTTTTTCTTAACCTCGCTTTGAAGATAACTTAAACATTTTAAACATTTAAATTGGCATCTTTATAGGCAAGGGTTATGGTAACCGTGAGAATGATGCTATCAATTAAATAATTAGTATATTCACAATATAAATAATCGCAAAGAATAGTAGTATTGGGTTTTCTATAAGTAACAAAATCCTGTAGAAGGTAACGATCGGTTATTTCATAACCTAAAGAAGACAATTTATATGTGTTAATACCATCGGATAAAGATTTAATAATTAAAGGATATGTATAACGTGCTTGGTATATTTTCGTAAATATACTCAAAAGCTGTATTACATACTTCTGAAAAAGCATATTTAATTGTTTTGGTATGTATAGATATTTAACAGCATTTACGAAATGTTGTCAAAATGCATTATTCTCTTATTGCTGAAAATAAAATGTGTCTCTTTTTGCAGTTGTTAAGCTGTGGAAAACTTAGCGGTACATCGTCATATAACACTGTAAACAATTTTAACAGGACAATCATTTAAAGAATCAAGATTATTAGTAATTATGTTAATTATTAGATAGTTAATCTTCATCCAATAAAAAGCATCAGAAAAAACATTAAGGGGTCACGTTTGTAATTCCTTCGATCAAATCAATAAAAAAGATCACTTTAGCAATGCATACAAGCTTTTTCATAAGCAGACCAATTACCTTCTCAATAGTGTACTGTATAAACGTCAAAACTAAAAGAACTAGATTGCTCATTAGATTTGTCAAATATAGAAACTCAATATTCTTACTTGTACGACCAATTTTTGAATAGACAACCTCAGCTATATCAAACCATGCTATGCGTACAATATGAAAAATTAAGTTGATTCTTTATAATCATGGTTTTTTATCAAGATTCTTTCTTATACCAAATATACTCTTATAGATTTCATTAAAAAAAAGAATTTTTTAAAAATACAAGCTCACGAGCATTTAAAGACATATAGAGAAGGTCCATCATAAGCAAAAAAAATATAACAAAATGAGATATAATTTCATTATCGACAAGGAGCCATTATGCAATAGCCTTACGAATGTAAAATTGCCTAGACCAATCCGCAACAATAGAAATAGCATGGTTGGAGAGATATTCTTGCATTGGGTCTTGATTTGAAGAGCATTCATATATCCTTCTATATCTTTCAAGTTATTTGTAACAAAATCGAAGAGGATAGCATTCTGTATATGCCTATTACTATTCCTTTCTGCTAGTCTATCATTATAACTGTATATCAATAATCTGTCTATAACTTCATCATCAGAGCACCTATTTTCTATACTATTACACTTACGATTATGATATGAAATACCAAGGTTTACAATAAATCATGCTTCAAAATGTATTGAAATTAATTCGCTATTAACAATTTTTAGATTGATTGCTCTATTTCATGATATTGCAGAAATTAAATACAAATTCATAATTATTGTTACCATATACACTGCCTAAGATGTACTAGTAGTATCAGGTTGTCTCTAAATATGAATATTATGATAATCATCTATATTCAGAATAAACGAATCCTCTGAGTATTTTGCAAGAGCTTTTTCTACATATTTCTCATGTGTATCAGACATTCTTTCTTTTTGCGATTTATCGATCTTAATGTTATAAAAATACCAAGATTAGCTATTGTATTAAGACTTTCATTACTTGTACCTACTGAATCTAAATAAAATCTAAGATCAATTTGTGCAAATTAATTTTCGTATTATTCAATGAAGCAAGTAAATAACATATCAATACCATCAATTCTTCATACGGCTCATTATTTGCTCATTATGTTTAAGTAGCTGAGCTGTTAAATAAAGCTGGTCAAAGAAATTCTTCAAACTCAGTTTGATTTCTTGAAATATTCTTCTCATTTTGTCGAATAAATATATTAATTCTTCTTTCTTGAAATGTTTTCTCTCATAAAAGATTTTTGCTATTTTCTTGACAGCTTCAGAGAAATCAATCTTTATACTTATCTCCTCATCTTTGTTCATAGTTCTTACTCGTTTGAAACCTTTCTTTAGAGAATTTTCTACCAGCTTCATATAACAAATATTACATAAAAGAATATCTTCCTTTCATGTTACCTTTACTAAATCGTTATTTTCAGCTTCTTTTCATTTTCCTCTCTTTAATAAATGAAATTTAATCAAATTAGTAATTTTGCATTCTGCATATTGCTTTGTTTCAGACATATCTTTAATGGCAATAGCAACATAAAGGCATAGAATTAATGAGGATTAAACGAATATATTGCAATTTAGTGCGAATGCTCTAAGTTTATTTAATGCATTTGCTCAGGTTTTTATGCTAAGATAGATCACACAAGCTACTCAGAAAAGTACTATAAAATGTATAAAAAAAAATTTAATAAATTGTATAACTAATTTCCTTATATGGAATGATCCCTCCTGTACAGTTCCTGTTGGTATTTTGGTAGGAAGTGATATTGCTTTTCATCTCTAATGAAGAGCCGAACAACCTACAAATAACCAAATTCCTCCTAATATCCCTCTCGATACCTTTGTAATCTTGAATTCTACTACTGTTACTCCTGCAAGTGCTTCTATTATTACTCTTAGAAATACATTTAACAATAATGATTAGGTATATGATTACTCAGAATTTCTTGAACCAAGCAGTAATTAATGTTATTAATCAGATATATACTTTAATATTGGGAATGAATTGTTATAGATAGTTTAGACAAATGAAAAACTGGTGTGATTCACATAGAAATACTATTTACTTTGTAAAACAAATCTATTATCTATATATTACTAAATCATATAATTTATTTTCTATATCAATAATTTTTTTTTACCAACATGTGGATAGTGTTGTTCATCGAATAAACTGAATCTAATATTTTATTATAATATACTTGCTATAAATTACTATAAATCATTTAGTATGTCAGGAACTCATATTAACAGACCAAGGCCTAATAAATGTATTTATACAGTAACACCTCTATAAATGCACCCTCTATAAGTGCACACCCTCTCTATATGCATACCATAGCTCAGTCTCAAGCTTGGGACTTAGAGCTAAATGCACACCCTCCATATTCTACACGTGTAAGTAATTTTAAGTTTCGAATATAATTGAAATACCTCTATAAATACACTCACGTGACTAATACATATAATCCAGCCAATCAGAAACAATCATTTTGTCACGTGAGTTATTTATTATTAAAATAAAATGATGGGTAAATTCGCAGTAAATTAAAAAGTATATCAGGTAATATATTTGACTATACATTTTGTGAAAAAAAAAGTTGAGCACAATAACACATTAAATCAGTATTGTTTAAATAAATTTATATACTATTTTATATAACTGATTAAAAAGATATTTAATACATAAGTAAACAAATATTTGTATTTTATTGTAACTAAACCGAATTAGTATTAATTAGAGAAAATTTATTTACTTAAGAGAAAATAGAATATAAATAAATAAAATAAACTGAACTGTTGAAAATGTCACAAAAAGGAATTTAAGTTTCATCATGTATCTAAATTAAGAAAAAAAAATGAAACTTCCCACCCATTTTTTATTAAGATAAATTATGTCATCATTTGATATATTGAAATCAAACAGAAAATGTCTCAAAAAACCACTCTCACTGAAATTCAAAAACGAGATTTTTGTAAATATGCTTGTGATAACAAGAAAACTCAAACCTAGTATGTTGATTAAATTGAAGAACAGTGGGGTCTCAAAGTTAGCGAAAGTACCATTACCCATACCTTACAAATAGCAGACAAACGACTTAGTTCAGAACTATCAACTAAATATAAAGCGGCATAAATCTGTTTCTTATCCAGAACTTGAATCTGCACTTAAAGAATTTGTTTTAGAATATCAGCATCGGCCGATTTTAAGCGATGTAATACTTGTTAAAAAAGCCAAAATAATTGCTGATAGATTAGGGATTCCTCAGGATGCATTTCAATTTTCTCAAGAATGGCTTCAAAAGTTTAAGAATCGCAACGGAATTTGTCAACGAAAGCTTAAAGGAGAAGCTTCATCTGCTGACGAAGTTGTCATTGCCAATGCTTTACCTTTATTGAGAGAATGTTACTCTAATTACCCTCTCAAAAGAATCTACAACATAGATAAAACTGGACTATTTTACAGGTAAAATTTTTAGTAATGCAAATTAAAAGAACAAAAAAATTTTTAAAAAAAAAATACATATACTTATCTTGCATGATCACAGGCTAGAACCTGATCGAATACTTGTAACCAAATGTCTTACTAGATGTAAGGTAAATAAAGAATGCCTTTTAATCGCATTATATGTGAATGCTGATAGATCACATAAATTCAAATCCCTAATAATTGGCAAATATGAAAGATTACGTTATTTTAAGAATGTAAAGATTCATAGTATGCCTATAACGTATTGCAATAATGCCAAAGCCTAGATGATCATGTCACTTTTTCAAGAATGGATTCGGAAGTTTGATCGCTAAGTTTGTTTAAAGTATCAAGGCCAGTGGGTATTACTTCTCCTCGATAACTGCTCTAATCATAAGTTAGTCAGACTTACCTTACAATATACCGATGTTCATTTTTTACCCCCTAATATGACTTCAAAAATTCAACTAATGGATACTAGGATCATCATGACCTTTAAAAGGCATTATCGTTGTCTTCATATACGGTAAGATATATCTATAAATAAATTTATTTAATATTATATGCTCTAAATAATTGTTCATATAAATCTAATTATCTATTTTTTTTAAAAGCTTAATACTTCAATATATAGAGGAAGGTAACTGTGTGAAAAACTTATATATAGATATCTTGCAGATAATTCGTTTTATTATTCAAGCCTGGGATGAGGTTGGCATCGATACAATTCATAACTGCTGACGTTATACAAAGATTCTTTCTACCCATATCAATGTAGGCACAGATTTGAGAAATGTTTCAGAGGATGAAAATTTGGTACTTAAAGATCTTGCAGATGCATTTCAAGTCCTTAGTTTTTTCAATCAAATGCAGTTAGACGAGTTTCTTAACATCCCTAAAGAGAATGTTGTTTATGAAGTTCTTGAAGATGATAAAATCATTGAAGAACTTGTATATCTTTTTAAAAATACTGGTGAAGAAAATGTGGACTTAGAAGAAGAAATGGATGACAGCCGTGAAATTCCTATTATTAGTACAAATACAGCAGTAGCTAGTTTGAAAACTGTATATATGTATTTACTTTAACAGGATAATACAGAAAAATATATAAAGTTAGTGAGAAAAATTGAAAAGTTCTTCAAAGTCAAAAAAACAAGCTCAATGCGGCAAACCGATATCAACATATATTTTGTTAAAAGTACTTAGCTTTTTAAAACATATAGAACATGTACAAATTTTAAAAATTTAAAAATTTTAAATAAATGCACTCAGATTATGATATTGTATAACTATATCTATTTTTCTATTGACTGTTCTATAAATGCACACCCTCCATAAATACATGTTCATGTTCAGTCCCCAGGGGGATACATTTATAGAGGTGTTACTGTATTATCTTAGACAAGATTTTTAATAAATCTGTGTCTAAACTCACTAATCTTCACCCTGATTATGAAATGAAGTATATTAAAAATTATTATGCATATATCAGCTATAGCACTCCTTTTGACTTTGAAAAGGCACTTGAGACAGAAAAAAAATTTGATAATTTATCCATAATTAGATCATATAATAATGAGCTGATCAAGTAAGATCAACTTTGCGAATATTAATTAATAAAAAATATAATAGTTATTATCATATATAGTCAACTCTTGTTATAAAAAACTCTATGTCCTAGACCTCAACTTCGCTATAAGGCTATAGTGAAGATTTTAAGAGATTTGATTGGCCAATTCACTATAACAAGAGTATTTTTATTATATTTGTTTAAAAAATTCATTATATCAAGAGTTCACTATATCAAGAGTTGACTGTATTCTGTCTTTTTAGATCATTTAGGCAAGAAGTAACTGAAACATACCGTGAGAACTGCATAGGAAAAGAGATTCTGATTAGTTGTCACAGGTTTAATGTTCACAATAATAAAATAGCTATTTGCTTTGATTGTTGGAAGTTAATAAAGATTAATGATATAAAGCCAAAAAAGAAATATTTTAATGGATGGCACAGACAGATATGGCTATAAAATCAAATTTGAAAACTTTATAAAATATCATTAGAATAATGAATGTTTTAAAGTAACTATACCAAGTGCTTCAAATTTTGAACCAATTTATATTTCGCCTGTCAGGCAAGAAATGATTTTACCAACTTCTTATCAATCATCGAATTGCAAGAGTAATACAAGTAAAATATTTATCCCATCTCAATATGCAAAACAGAAAAACTTATTACTATCTATAAACCATCTTAATCAGTTCACATTAAGATTGAGAGATGGGACAAAAATCACAATTGTATAACCAGTTTAACTGTTAATTATAAACTAATATTATTTAGCCAAAAGCGCAATATACACTACCTTCGGAAAAGTATCTGGTCAGCTGAAAAAAAAAAATTTATTTAAAATTTTAAGTATAAATTTTTAAAATAATTGAAATCGTCAATAATTAAGAGATGTCTAATTCTTTTTTTATAATTTGCTTAAGCTCACCATCTTTATTCATAGAATTTGATCATCTGAATCTTTTAACATTTGATCCATTATTAGAATTAGCATACCGCATAATTACATCTGTAATAGTGCTTTTTGGAAATTTTAAAATACGTGCAAAGGTCTCATGAGTCCTTCCTGCTAACTTTAAACTAACAATTTGTCTGTATTTAAAGTCATTTAATTTGCAATTTTTTTTTCATATTGAATGACGCAATTTTTAAAAATGTGAAATTGAAGTTGTTTTATGTTTTTGTATATTAAACCTGATCTATATAGTATTACACAAATATAAATATATGCATATCATCGTCAAAACCAGAGGAGTTATTTAAAAAAAATTTTATTTAGTTGATATATCCGATCTTGAGAAATTTAAAAAAAGCTTGACCGGATACTTTTCTGAGGATAATGTATAACTTATTCTTTATTTTTTTTGCAAAATGAATAGTTACAGTATATAATCTGCAATGTATGATCACCTAGTAAAATTGTGAAATGTATCACCTGTGGAATAAAAAACCTGATTTGCCTATTTTAAGTTAGATCTTTTAATTTATAATGGAGTATTATTTAGGAAGATTAATGAAATGATCTTGGGAGTTCTTGATTTTTAAATACTACTAAAATTATGATTTTGAAAATTTCTATGTGATAGTTATTCAGCAAACTTATAGGAATTACAAGAAAAGACCTGAATCTTTAGCAAAATGAGTTTAAGAAATAGTGAGAAATGATGATACTTCTGATGATATGAAGTTTTTAGGTATAAAAAATGAATCAGAACAACCAGGATATATTTGTTATAGAGATAAGAGAGGTTATTATCCAGTAAAAAATAATTGGATATATGAGAAGAGAACTCAATTATGGTAACAATTATCTTTTGTAACATTTATACTTGTTAAGAAATTATTATATCAGCAAGGCTATATAGTTATTAGAGGTACATATTGGT